GGAAAAGCACAGATAGCCCATTGTGTAGCTTTGTGCTTAACTACAAACAGGATTTCTAACAAGACTAACCTTTTGTGATATAAAGTTGTTACTGAGGAAAACAAAGCAAAATGTTTAAAAAAAGCTATAAGCATCACGTTCAAACAACTCGGCTGAAAGTTACGCTATGAAATGCATGATAAAATACGTAAGACGTTAAATGTGTAAATATTTAAATTACTGCCAATAACTCTGTCCATTTTCCTAAATGAAACAAAAATTGTTTATCTTAAAATTTTTAATTAAATAAGAATACTGTGGAAGAAGTATTCTTATATAATTTTAACACGAGTATAGTATTACAGGTGGCTTAGTACTTTAGAATCCTGGGATCGATCACCCTGGTGAACAGAGTGCATATAATCCATTGTAGAGTATTGCGCTAAAACAAACCAACTTTCAAAAATCATTAGTATAAAAATACTTATAACACTGCAGCTTACTAATGATTGTGAATTTTTACACATATATTCACATTTTCAACGTATTTTTTTAGATAAATTGATCATTAAATTATTCTGTTCCCCGGTGGCTCAACTGTAAGACAGGAGGCTTATAACGCCAAAAGTGGGTTTCAATACCCGCAATGAACAGAGCCCAGGTAGCTCTTTGTGTAGCTTTGCGTATAACAATAAAAACTTAAAATTGTTATTGCCCCACCAGTGTAAAAGCGGTATGTCTGAAGGCTTATAATGCTATATGCTAGGTTTCGATACCCGTGTTGAGCACAACACAGATAACACATTGTGTAGCTTTGTGCTTAACTACAAATAAACAAACAAACAAATCTTAAATTATAATACGAGACAAGTTAGAAAAGTAATAGAATTAAATAAAATACTCACCGATAAGATGCCAAATTTTCCTTCGCCCATAGCGACACAATAAAAAATTATATCGTTTGTCTGACTGAATACCAATTAAGGGCGTTGCGATAGCGTCTGCTACTTGGCCTAGCAGAAGCAATGCGCCTGTCATTCGACTCTCGAATCTTAATACCAGCTCGAGAAACGTAAGCAAATAGGAAAACCACATGGAAGCACACAAATCATTGAAAACATGCCCAACGCTGAAAGCCAGCTTAGTTCGGAGCGATAACTGTTTTTTCTTGACGTTTTTAACCACCTTGCTCGATTGAACAGAGGAATTGTTATCTGCTCTTACATTTGTAGAAGCATTTTCAAGTGTACTGACTTCATATTTCGAACGGGAATTCATAACTGTATTACGAAATTACTAAAGAAGAGGAGTAAATTAAAACGCCACCTTGTAACGTTGATGTTGTTATTGAGAGAGGCTTATTTTTAGCACTTGTAAAAAGAAAAGTTTATAAAAGCGAGTTTTATCTGTGACAATTTTTAGAATTCGGTCACAAGTACAAAAGGAAGTCTTCTTAAATGTGTATAAAACAAAACAAAAAAGCTTTCTTCCTTTAAAGTCGTTAAAACGAGAACCCACCCACTCAAGTTTTTCGAAATCTAATTAATTTACAAATTCGCCAACTTTAAGATAACTATCTTGTAATATTTCGTAAAGGCTATTACTTGACCCCATTCAACCTCTCTCCTGTGTTGTTCAAGTAGAACATTAAAATCCTGACAATTCATTGTCTTATTTTACTCTGTTGTCTTCTGAACTCTGTACCTACAGGATGATAACCCAATTGTTGAAATGTCTCTTTGACAAAAACAAAACACGCATGAGCTTTATCTTAGGCCTACTTCACAAAAATAAAATAACAGTGCAATAACTCATTGAGATCGATTCAAGGATCACATCCTATCAACCAGGATTGCAGTGAAAAAAAACAAAAAAAAAAAAAGAAAAGAAAAACGAGCAAACTCGTGGCATGAAAGAAATACAGCACGGCTACATTTCACATAATTAAAATTTCCTAAAGGTAAAACTTTAAAGAAAGTATTTACGGCAAATTTATTAAAACTATTTCTTGTTGTTTTAACAGAAACTACCCAACGGATTATGCGCACTCTGTCCACCGCGGGGAATTGAACCTTGATTTTTGAGTTGTAAGTCTGTAAACTTAATGTTGACCCATCGGAAGGGTCGGGGAGTATTACCTGAAAACGACAGAAACAAAATCTCTCTGACTTGGTTGGAATTATAAATAAATTTTGTTTTTAGTTCGTGATAATATATATAGTTCATCATCACTTCTCTTTAAAACGTTTGAAATAACTAACTGATACGAATTAATATGAGTTTTGTTGTAATCTCCGCTGGGTTTATGAGCATTATACATATCCATTCTACAAAACAAAGAAAACATAACAGTAATACAGAACATAAAAGTGAACCATAAAAGCTAGGAAATATTGTAATTGTCATTTTTCACTGGTTTAGTGAAGTAATTGAGAAGCTTTCATTATTGCATTCACCTTTGACCTAAATATGTTTGTTTGTTTTTAATTATGCACAAAGCTACACAAGGGCCATCAGTGCTCTGCACACCACGGGTATCGAAAATCGGTTTTATAGCATTGTATGCCCAGAAATACCACTGTGCCACTGGGTGACACCTAAATCTGAAAGGTGTGACACCTTATAATGTTGTAGCTTTTTTTTTTTATAAAATTACAAAACTGATCTAAGTGGGTTAGAGCAAAACATAAACCCATACTATGGCTTACATTATGTTATCATAATATTTTTTAAATAAAATTGTCAGGGTTTTGTATGGGGGAATTCTTTTACTAGGTGTCTGTGACTTGTTGGCGATAAGTATCAACAATAAACGCACAGCATACAATCCACTTGTTTTAAAATATTATATTCAAAACAGGTCAAACGTATGTACAAAAATTCGTTTTGCTATTGGTTATCAAAGTTGTATTTTAAGCTTTAATTAATTCTATTTTCTTGTCAAAAGTCCACACAGGCTAGTTCCATTACTTTAGAACTCAACTGACATGACGAAATATTTTTCTATTACTGCACATTCTGCGATGGCTTCAGGTTCCCTCTTGGGTTACCACAGTTGTATCCAAAACTCAAATAATTGTCTCCTTTTTGTCAAAGTCCACACAGGCGGGTTCAATTAATTCAGAACACTCTTTGACAAGACAAATTATTCTCTTTTATCTCTATTATTGCAATACCACTGTAGAAGTCACTTTAAATATTGCCCGTCATGACTAAACTAACATATACATAGCCTAACTTCAATTTCACTAACTTAGCGTTTTCTTACTTAACCTTCGCTTTACTAACTTCTTCAGAAATCGCCCTTCACAGCTAAACTCTCAATCACTCAGTCTAGATCTGTCTAATTATCTCTCACTTAACTTACTTTATTTTTTCCTCTGTGCATCTGCACGTATTTATAACACGCGACAGAAAAATCTAGAAATATCTAGCCCTCTAGTGACAACAATATTACACACAACGAGAACAACTCCGAAGCTTAGAGTAAAATGACATCAACAATATTACTAATACCTAGTACAACAATTAATTTGCATACACAACATACGACTGGTACCGAGATACGTAACGAAACTTATCATAACTATTGCATTTAAACCAATCGATTTTCAAAACTCTTGTCATGAAAACTAAACAATCATTGAATACTAAGTTTCAAAATAAACAAAATAATAGCTCTTAGACTAAACAGTCTTGTCTATCCAACAATAAACCCCTCTTGAAGAAAAACATTTACAATATTTTTATTCTATATACAAAGACTGTTCTCAGTTCACACACTAAATCTCCTCATACAGTCTGCACTAACAGTTGCAGTTCCCTTGTCAGTATCTCTTCGGATGGGGCTTCAACTTGACAAAATCCCTTTCTTTGTCTTGTGTTGCCTGAGGTCTGTCATGTCTAATATTCCTGTATAATGGCATAGTAGTTCTTTTACTTCTCTCTTCTGCTTGCCAGTCAGTTCTTCATTGATGTTGACATCTTTGTATGTCTCGTCTCCTAGGAATGGTCTTAGGTCTAGTAGGTCTTCATCTTCTATAATGAAGTCATTGTCTTCAGGTTCTGCATCTATGACAGCCACACCTGCCATGTACATCTGTCTTAATAACTGCACCCATTATGTCTTCTTTCCTCTCAAAGTACCTCTTCAACAGATTGGCATGATAGATCTTGGTCTTCCCCTCCACTTGTACCTTATAGTCCATTCTATTGAGAACTTCCTGTACTTCAAAAGGTCCTTCCCACTGCAGAGTAAGTTTGTTGTTGTTGTCTGTGAGTAGCAGAAACAAGACCTTCTGTCCGACCTTGAAATGTCATTCCTTGGCCTTCTTGTTATAGAAGTGCTTCTGACTGTCATTGATGGGCTTGGCTTCCTCACAGTAGAACTGCTTTGGTAAAACAGGAACAATACTTATTTCCAGTCCTCTATTTTGTAAGTCTCTTTCTTCTTTGTCTTGTGCTTGACTTTCTCTTGGGCAGTGACGGGTCTTTCTTTTGCACTTTCTTCAGTTCCCATACACCTCCATTCTGGATGTCACTTTTTGTTACTTGCAAGAGCTTGATGATTTGCTTTCTCTTCTCATTTTGAGCTCTTGTAGTGACTGTAGATGCCTCATCAGTCTTTTTTCTGACTAGTTCCTCCAAAATTCTACTACCTGATTTGTTGGTGCTTTCATACACATGGCTTCAAAGTCTCCCATGTAGTATGGAGTATCCATCTTTATTTTTGCTATGGGAAATTTTCTCATTGTCCCATCAATCAGTATATGCAGGCATACCTTGCCTGCCATCTTATCATCAGATACTAGACTGGTTCTTACTGCTGCACTACTGAACCAAGTGTTTCATAGGATCTTCACTTTCTTGTCCCTGACAAAGCCTTCACCTACTGGCATGTTGTGATTTGTTGTCACCTCTCTATGTTTGTTACATGCTCCAATCACTACTGGCACTGTTGATTCATTTGCCAACTTGAGCTGACTATTAGTCATGCACTGATCAGCCATGGAAATAGCACTTCCTTCTTGGAGTGAATCTGATGGATTGTCTCTATTCTGTTTCTTGATAGTCACTCTTTTCTTGTTTCTTGCCAGTACCATCTTTGTAAGTAGCTACAGCTGTTTTATGTTGAGATTTTTGTTTGAACAGTTTCTGGACCAAACAAAAAGTTCATTTTGGTGGGATTTTAGGCTTAAAAGGGGTTTCCACCATAATGAAATATTAATTCAAGAAAATATGTATGTGCCCTTTAAGTACTTAAATGTTCTTGATTGCCTAACATTCTTCATTTGTAATGATATAAGATAATCCCTTTTTTATAAGTTTTCAAGCAAAGAATTATTTCACAGAAACCATGTGGTTTATTCCACATTTTGCAATACTTGCAAGACCTTTAAGAGTGTTAACAAAGGACATGGGTTTCTAGTGGGCAGATAACAGACAAGAAGCATTCAAGAAATTAAGAGCACCAATTTTGAGTAACCCACACTTTATTAAGTATTTCATCTTAAGCACAACAGCTTTAACTCTTATGTAAAAGAAGAAGAATTATCATAGTTAGAAAAAAATGAGAACACCCCATAGTTTATCAAAATAGAGAGACAGAAAAAGTTGAGATAAATCACTCAGTAACAGAACAAGCTTGTTTAATGCTAGTACATGGTATTAAGACCTTCTGTTATTATCTGTATGGTAGAAAATTCACTATAATTACAGCCATGCACACTTACAATATTCCTGATGATACTTAAAGATCCATAGATTGGAGAGGTGGTTGTTGGTATTAAAAAATCATGATTCTGAAGCAGCAAAGTCAAAAACTCTCTAATGTAGATATATTACATAGGTTTAGGGTAGTAGAAACAACTGATAACTCAAAACAATTGACTAAAATAATTCAAATATGTAAATAATAATAATGAACACAACTATGAAGTAGCTTTGGATCATGTAATCAATGAACAAAAGAAAGATGTAGCAGTAAATTCATTAAAAGAAAGTATATTATATAGAGAAGAAATTGATTAAATGTTAGATTCAGATGTGTTATGCAGAAAGACAGAGTGTAGAGGAAATACAAGAATGAATATACCACAAATAGTAGAACCACAAAATTTGATAAACAAAGTAATGAGTACTTATCATGATATTCCATTCTTTGCACATTTAACACTTGCAAAGACATATGGTAGAATAAATAAGAGATTACTTTGTGAAAATATGAGAAGTGATATTAATAGCTGTTGCAAATCATGTATGGTGTGTCAAAAACATAATAATAGTCCACAGTTAAAGAATACCTCTTTAGAGAGAATGCAAAAGTTAGTCATGTAATTTCAGATGATAACTGTTAAAGTGATATATTAGAACCCTTGCCAACATCATATTTAGGAAATAAATACATATCAGTTGCTTCACATTATTTAATCAAATTTCCAAAGGCAATATGTTTGCCAAATCAGAAAGCAGGAACCATAAT